AATGTGCTGAAGCATTGCTCTCGGAACGACTTCTTCGCGTTTATTGCCTTCCTCACGGGATGGTCTCCCGATGATAGCTTGGTGGCCCCCGACAAAGCCGGCTACGTAAGAGCTATCAAGGCCCGACCGCCCACCCTCTCTCCATTGCATCCCTGCCCCTCCCCTCTTGCCAGGCCGAATCGAGACGCCGCGGAGACCCACTCGAGAGAACAGCGTGGACGAGCCGGGCCCGACGGTGCTAAAGTCCCCTAAACCCGTAAACCCCTAAACCCCTAAACCCAAACTCCTCATCCCGCCCGGTCACAGGATGTACGCCGCTACTTGAATTACCAGACAGCTGCCGTGACCGCCGGCGTTCTGGACCCGAAGCAGTTCGGAGGTTGGTCGTATATGCTGCCGCAGAAGCGGGGAGATGGCCAGAAGGCGGCGATGCTTCCCGAAGTCATCGACTACGAAACGTCTGGCACAATCTCGATGAAGTGCCTATTCTGATATAGTATGGTCTCCGACATGCTGATTGTGAGTATTGTAGGTGTAGACGGGAATTGTGGTGGGTTTCCAAGTGTGTTTTAGCTTTATAAGTCCGGTGCATTTCCCATCATTGATCCATATTGGTCCAATTCCCAATAATATCATGGGCTAGTGACTAGTGGCGGATCACCGAGGTCCTATTAAATAAATAATTTATCTGATTCAACCTGAAATTAGGACCCAAGAAGAAACGCTTAAGCCTTATATTAGGGACAGCAACGAATAAGAGCAGCATAAGGGCCACATAACGGTCGAGTAAGGGAAACCAGTGACGAATAAGAGCGGAATAAGGGCCGAATAAGAGCCACATAAGGGTCGAATAAGGGAAACCAGTGACGAATAAGAGCGGAATAAGGCCCGAATAAGAGCCACAGAAGGGTCAAATGAAGCAAAATGCGAGTATAATATAAGGAATATAGCTGAATAAGGGATCTAGGACCTAGGAACGGATGATTATAAGGGGCGAATAGTGTATTCTACATACGAATTCATTCTGTTTTTGCTGAAACCCACCACCCACCACCCACCAAAAACACCCACCCACCCATCGCCCTGCGCGGAGCCCCCAATACAAGCTCTAATTGTGCCGAGGCGAGCCAAGACCGGGTTGCCTCCTCCCAAAGGGAAGAGGGAGACAGTGCCGAGGGATCCACAAGCCGGAGTTGCGGCCGCCACGATGCTGCTCAAGGGCATGAGCTGCACAGGACGCAGTTTTTTGTGCAACACCCCAACCACCCTCGGCACCCCAACCACTTCTTTCCAATCAGAGGACCATCGGTGCCGCAGCTCGGTGTGAGTCCGAAAGGGGCTGAGGCAGAGGTCCAGCCGATCAAGGACAAGGATCAGGGTGGGAAGTACCTTTGCTGCACTGTTGGGCTGCGATGGCAGAGGTCTGATGCCGACATGCTGCCAAAAAGGATTGGATCCCTGGGTGCAGTGGCAAAGACAAAGGCTAGGGCGGGCTCCACGACAACCACCGGTGATGCCAAAACCTCAACAGCCGCCCCTGCACCTTGCCTTAAACAGCGAGAGCGCATAGCAGACCGGTCACAGACGTGCCTTCCAGGCTACGGACTTCGAGGACTCCATGAGCAAGGCCGTTCTCAGTGCATACTTCAGCGGTGGATTTTCAAGCTACTGTAAAACTCTTCGGCAGGTGAGCTTCACCGACAGCGAAGAGGCCCCAGCGGATGACGAGGAAGATGCAATGGAAGCCGAGGCAAATGAAATGAAACACGTGTTTGTGGCGATTGACGAAAACTCCACTCGGTTCGTCGTGGACACCAGTCTGCGAGCAAAAGTCGCGCTTCCCTCCAAGCATGGCGAGTGGCGCCTAGTGCTGCGGGGGGACGTCATCTTCTTGGAGGCAGTCGGCTCTTTCACGATTCGCGACCGCCCGGTCCATGCCCTGATGACGTGCTCCAAAGTCCTACCGCTAGAGCAGCCTGGCCGTTTAAGGGATCGAAGCTTTCGAGCGCACCGAATTTCCAAAACAAGGGTTTGTGAGATTCAGAGCCTTGCAAGGGATGCAGATGACCACAATCTGACGGTGGAGAGCTACCCGGCTCCGCCAGAGGATGCGGACATGGAGGAAGGGTCAGAGTTTGTAAATATTTTGTGCTAGTGTTGAGGTATGTTGAGGTCCTGGTTCAGGGACCCAATAAATCCAGGTTTAAGCCTTTTGGTGCAGGGAATGTCGGTGGGTTTCATTGCAGGTATATGTCTTGTTTGCAATGGGTTTCCCACTCCAGCTATTCTGGGCTAGTGGGTTCACCGAGGTCCTACTGATTCAAACTGAATTAGGTATCGTTCAGCCTTCCATTTGCGGGAATTAAGGGATGAATAAGAGCGGAATAAGGGCCGAATAAGAGCCACTTAAGGGTCAAATAAGGGAAATCAGGGGCGAATAATAGCAGAATAAGGGCCGAATAAGAGCCACATAGGGGTCGAATAAGGGAAATAGGGAGATCGGTGACGAATAGGAGCGCAAAAAGAACCCAACAAGAGCCACAAGGGTCGAATAAAGTATATCTCACATAAAAGCAATAGCAAGCTCGCTGGAGGGTTGCTCAGTTTCAAATTAACATGTTAATGCACACGCTTGTATATACGGAACATGTCACACGCGCTGCTTGTTACGTTCGGGCCTGCTGAAGGCTCGCCTGTTGTAGTCTCCTATATAGTCCATTAAACCCATCAGGAACCGCGTGCGTTCATCGAGGAGGAGGAGACGGGCGAGACAGATGATGACGATAAAGGCTTTCTCCTCGGAGGCACCGGGGGCACTGCGCATGACAGGAGCTAAACTCAGGCGAAATAAGAGCAGAACAGGGGCTACATAAACCCAAAACCCCTGCGCTTTCCAATTCTGCAGAACACACCACACCCGTGCCGCACCCCCAACCACTCTCCCACCCTCCCGCTCGATCTCCCTCACACCAAGGGTGGAATGCTCTTGCGGTTTCAGTGAGTCTAGGGATGGAGTACAAGTTGGATATGTATAGGTATAAATACGGGGTCAAATGTGGGCTGAATTAGAACGCTCAATAAGGGTAGAATAAACTTGTCCGATAGGTTAGAATATGTGGGAAGGGTGGGTTGATTAGCCCGAGGGTCCAGTGAACACGAGGGGGCACGAACAGAGCGGTATCCCTGTGGCAGAAATCGACCGCGAAGCCAACGACGAGGGTGAAGAGGAAGAGGATGCGGCCGAGGACCCGAGTGATGAGTGAGGCTGGCTGAAGCATTATAGGGTCCGGTCCCGACAGGTCTCTGGGGAAATGTCGTAGACAAACACAGTGCAGGCTTTTGGAAGTACCCAGGGAGCGTGCTCAAGCGACCGTGTAGTTTTTGAAAGCCATTTCCAAGATTTGAACAGGGCTCCAGCGTTTTGCGTATCTGCGGTGCCTGCTGCATGGCCATGTCCTCTCGACTTAGCCCCGATGTGCAAACTTCTAGGTCTAGCTCAGTTTAGCATGCCATGCCTTGAAAATAGTTTGATTGCCTTCATTTTGTTGCACGCGTGACTGTGTGTCTGTTTGTTGTGTAATCAGGCGACGCCTTGTGTGTCCAGAGCTTGCAGCAGCTCTCTTTTCTGCAGACCTCGCCGCCCCCGCCCGAGCTGACGCAAAATAACGCATAACGAGCGATCCTTGAGAGTAAGCAAAGTGGTCGCACGCTGGTGGCAAGCTTCCGTGCTGGAGGTAGTGCTCAAGACTCCACCCGATCGTCTAGGTATCTCTCCTGCATTGCAATGGCGGCAAAGGCTAAGACACCTCCCGTGAAACCTCCGCCGGACACGCCCCCAGCTCTCATCAAGAAGAAACGGGCCGCTTCACTGGAGCTTGCGCGTGTGTCCCCGCTGCAAGCGAGGCTGCCCAAGACATCCAAGACAACGTGTCAGAAGCAAGTGATTGAGACGACGCCACCCAAGCAACCCAGTGACACGATCCGTGGATGCAGTGGCGACGCCGCCCAAGAAAAAGACGACGGAGAGAGACCACCTCGTGAATGAGCACACGCCGCCTGCTGTACATCGCTATCCGAGAACCCCGCCTAGGAAATCCAAATAGGTCAGCCGGAGTCCTAGAACGTGCTCGCAGTGAGGCTTGCGGAAAGAAAAATAGAGCGAAGCTGGCAACCACCTTCAACAAATCCACTACTGAGTCACTCTCGTCCACTCGTCGTGCTGAGGTTCTGCCAGGAATTCTTCCGGAAGCATTGGATGGAACATCAGTGCTCAGGTGGGAGAGAGTCGGAGAGAGAGAGAGAGAAAGAGAGTAAGTAAGTAAGCTTGTGTGTGTGCACGCGCTAGGAAGGACTAAAAAAAATAAGGGTGGAATAAGCACAAAATAAGGGTGGAATAAAAGGAGGAAGGATCACGAACAGAATAAGGGGTGAATAAGAGCAGAATAAGGAAGGAATAGGAACCGAATAAGGGAGGAATAAGGGCCAAATAAGGAGCAAATAAGAGATACACTTAATAGAGTAGCTTGTGTAGCCTCGTGTACAGCCTCATGTCACGAGGCCGAAGCTCACCGCAAAAGAAAAGAAAGGCTTCTTTGTCACCCGCCGCGCAGCAAGCAGCGTGTTTCGTTCTTGTGCCGGGGTTGGTTTCTGCGGGGCATGAGAAACATGTGCGCTGAGACAAAGTCGTTGTGTGAACCAATCAGATAAGCAAGGCGGTCATCAAGATGATCCACCATGGCCTGGTAACCATGACAGGAATGGGGCTGGAGGAGTTTATTCCCGAGTACAAGCACTGCCTCTCGCTGGAGATGCTCCTGGACGAAGCGAATGTGAAAAAACTGGAGCTTCCGGCTGCGGCCACTCGCCCGTTGCTGCGTGCGGTGGAAGACGAAGAATCGCAGCAGACAAAAGCCTGGCGGTACATCTTCTCACGGCTGCGAGTGCGCGGAGACGTGGAGTCGGAGTTGGCGCATCCGCTGTGGAACTCCTACAAGCGAGCGATGGCAGATTCTGGGTTACAGGAATCGGCACTCAAGTTGTCGATATGCGCCAACTTTTCTCATGGCTCATGGTTATCGGGCGATAAGCATGAGCGCATGCGCGAAGCACTGTTCGCGTATATGGAGGAGCGCGGTTCGGAGTGGTTTGAGGAGCTCGCCGTGGAGCTGGGGTGGGAGTTCGACGGAGTGAGTGGCGAGGCCTTTCTTGATGCCTGCACAGTGCCACTTCGTCTGCAACTTATCAGAGCTGTCCCAGCTGTTCAAACCTAATTCCAAGCCTTTGCTTCATTTGGCAAAGCGGAGGATGCAAAGCAACGCCATGCGCCGCCGAGGCAAATTCGCGCCCTGGCAGTCAACTGGCAGCCTTTCTACAGCCCGGTTACAGCCCAATCACAGCCGAAGCGCAGCCGAATCAACGCTAAATCACGGCCGAATGATTGACAGGTGAAAACCAAAGCTTGGTTCGGCATCAACAGCAGCTTCCGCGACTTGATCGCGGATTGGCCGGTCCTGGCTGCCTCTGCCGTTGCCATGATGGAGATGTCAGGAGGAGATGCCCCCTGGCTTCGATACTACAGAGCACAGCACACACAGATGGTGTCGATTGGGGGGGGGGGGGCGCGTGTGCGGACAGGGGTTGGGGGCCGTTGCAGCTTGCTGGCGGCCAGGGCTCACGCGCAAGCCCTTCCAATGCAAGCCGTAAACCCTATAACGCAGCGCGTGCCTTAACTTGTACTTAAAATGCTACACAACCCTAAACCCCACCGAACTGCAGGCTCTATAAGCCTAAAGCAGAGCATACACCGCAAATCCTCCCTAAGCCCTTGTCGACTCGAAGCACAAGTGGAAGAGGAACCCCACACCCCACACCACAGGGGAGGGGGGCTGCGGAGCGCGTGACCATATATGAACAATAAGGGCGAACTAAGCTTCAAAATTCCTAAACTTTTGTCACCGTAAGCCATTTCAGGTGGATAACGACTCCGCGTCGGAGGCAGGAGACGAAGACGAGGCCGCGCCAGCAGATGAAGCAGAACCAGCAGGAGCAGAAGGCAGCAGACCCAAGCAGATCCTGACGAAACTTAGGCGTACTCGGAATTGTTCTTTTGATTTTGGGTTACTACACCAAGACACAGCTAGGACTACATGTTTGCACGGGTGCCAAGCCCACTATAGGAAAGCGCAGCTCTACAAGTACTACGCTGGCAAGGGTCCGGTGGAGCTGTTTGCCGAGTTCATGTTGCAGGGAGACCTGCGACAGCACGCCGTCATCCTGACAGCGGTCGGTGCTCCGCTGGAATCCAAGTACAAAGCCGACCTGGAGTGTCAGACGAGCGGGGACATCCAGGACATGATTTCTTGGTCTGTGAATCGTGCACAGGGCCGTGCCTGGTGGACCACCACTCAGGCCAGACAGCAGTTTCACGAGCCCGGGCCAAATATCCGTAGCTCTAAGTTCACGATAATCAAACACGAAACTCGAGGCAATCCTCGCCGTGCCCTTCACGTCAAACTTTATAGAGGAGGTGGGACTGACCCTGCCGATGAGACCCGCTCTGCCGACGCAGCCCCTCCATGCTTGGATACGTGGCTGCATGTGTTGGAGGGTCGCCGTAGAAGCGTTTCCGCCCTGCCACCGCATGTGCTGATTCAGTGGAGCGACATTTATTCTGAAGCTGAGGAGGAGCTCCGCATCATGGAGGATGCCCTGAGGTTCGCCACGTGTCTGGCCGGCAACGTGGCCTGGTCACAGGTCTGGGCAGGGAGCCTTGTCGCTGTGGGGGTAGGCTGCACACTAGAAGCATGTTCCCTGTGTGGAGGTCCAGCACCGCTTCAGCATGCCTGCAGCTGCCACGGTGCTATTGGCAAACACACAGGAGGAGCGTGAGGAAGGCATGTGAGACAAGGGCAGGGTAATGGTGGAATAAGGGGTGAATAAGGGCGAAATAAGACAAAATCCGGAAAGTTAAGGCAGCATAAGGGTGGAATAAGGGGTGAATAGAGGTGGAATAAGGCATAGCAAGCGAAATAAGGGCAGAATAAGGGCGAAATAAGGGGTGAGTCAAGCGGAACAGGAGAATTAGATTTCGGAACAGCTAGAAAACCCAGCAAATTTGGTTGTTTGTTTGCTGTTCTTTCTGTATTCTGTTGGCAGGCATGCAGTTTTTGCAGAAGATTGCAAAGACGGTGCTGCGACTGTGCAGTCTGGCTGGCCGCTCCAAAAAGCACGAGGAACTTCTTCGTGATATCGGGTGGACGAAAGAAACACTGCCTCTAGAAATCCTCGCGAGCTGCATAAAGAACGATTGGAGTGCTGACAATGAAGAGGTGAAGACGCTGATGCGACGCCTCAAAGGAGGCCTCAGCCCTACGTTCATGTAAACACGAGGGAAGAACCGGTTAGCTGAGCGTAACTTGACATGTCTTCTTCAGCACTAAGCCCTGGCAGGTGTTTCGACTACAAAGGATATTCTTGAGGCGACGTTCGCACATTTAACAGATGTGGCGAAGAGACACAGCAAGTCGCAGAAACTCTCCCACTACAGCCGGTGGCTCTACGCCACCTGTGCGCCGTACGCGCGGGAGTCTGCGCCGCAGTTGCTTCCGGATGACCAGGCATGGTTGGACCACAGAACCTCCGATGCCAACAAGTCCAAGGAGTTCCAGTCAG